CCTCTACAGTAACCATTTCACAGTTTGCCACTTCAAGGACTTGGAGCCTAACAGAAAATCAACATTAGCTCCTTTTAGCAAGAATTTTTTTCTACTAAATTAAAATTAAAGACTGTTGCTATGATTGTATATGTTGTTATGAGCACCACTGAAGATAGTGATGCAGAGCAGAGAAGCTAGAGTTGCACCGTTTTCCAACTTCATGAGATGCTGCTCTAATGCAAGACTGATATATTTGAACCCTTGAACATACAAGGCCCTCAAAGAAAAGTATGCTGCTCACTGATCAATGAAATCAGCAAGTTTTGAACATCTTAAGAATTTCTTTCTCTCCAGCTGGATATGGCTTTTACAGTTCTTCAGTTATAATAATGATTTCAAATATTTTGTGCAAGTCTCACTGTTGGGATGTCTACCAGAAGCAATAAACTGCTCTAACCAAACCCTCTTTGCTCCTGTCACAATTTCCTAGTACCTTCTCCATAATACCATCATAAAACAACAGAGCCTTCAAACAGACATCTCCAAAATTCTCCCACTGAAATACCTTCCACTTTTACATGATAGCCTGATTCAAAGTGCAAATGTTTCCTGTTTACACTGAGTACAGTTATGATAACGGAAATTCAGCATTTCCATAAGAAAGTAGCTTTCAAAAGAATAAACATGAGTGCTTTTTCCCCCTAAGAGAAAAATAATCAGTCTTCCTAACCAAATAAGCTTGTAAAACTTAACCTGATACAGTAGAAGCATTTGCAGCAGCTGGTGGACTTCTTGGTAGAGGCCAAAGTGTCTGGAAACAGAATCAGCATATTGGCAGGTTCTACCTAACAGCTCACTGCCTTCCTCAGCTGGTCTGATGTCTCATCGAAGGATAGATGAACATCACTTGTGTAATTGACTTTTTTTTAAAAAAAAATCCTCTCTTCAATCAAGAAAAATTCCTCTCTTCAATCAAGAACGCAGGTTTAGTTCTCTCATTCTTGCAGGGACATTGAGAGGCAACAGAAGACAGTTACAGCACTGGAAAATTCAGCAGATTCAGTTTTCTTCCTGTCTTTTGTTTCCACTTTTTTTTTTTTTTGAGAACTTTGAGGGGCCTTGATGGACAGTTCTGTGGTATTTTGGAAAATTTATATATGGAGGATACCTACTTCTTTCTTGCACAGCTGCAGTGGGTGTCCTGATGGACATGCATTATCTATTGGCATCAGTGGAAAAAGAATTTGGTCTTCATGATTTCATTACCATGAAAGCATGATTTCTAATAATGCAGGAGGGATAAAAACCAAGCCTGATTTCCTTTGTTGTTGTGGAAATGAAAAGTAGATTTTCCGGTAAGCAGAAGTTTCTTCAAAATAACTGACATGTGGTTAAACATGGAAGCCTTCTTGAGGCAACCCAACAGGACAATTTTTCAGCTGACACCCAGGTTTACTCCTCCCTTTACTCCTAAACAGCAATTTAAGGAGAGCTAGCTTTCCATAGTGATGTAACTGCAGCTCCACAAAGTGGTTAAGAGCAAAGCCTGGAAGCTGAATGTCCCTCATCATCATACCACGCTGCCAGTGAGCCCTCAATGTCTGCGGTGGTCTGCAAAGCACATTCAGAGGAGAATGACTTCTTGTGTGGAAGGCTTATGGTACACAGCACAAACCTACCAGAGTAATGAGATATAGTACAGCAGAATAATATTTGTCACTTGTATATCACTTTATTATTTTAAACCACCTTATGAATATTAATCAACCTCTTTAGTATCTCAAGAGGTGGGATAACACTTACTGTTAGCAATATTGTGTTGTGTGATCTACAGCTCCACATATAATTCATAATTTAATAAGATTTACTAATGACCTTGGGTTCTATTCAGATTTTCATCCTACCTTCAGCTGCATGGAGCTGACACTCAGAAACTCAAATATATTTAGGCATGCAACTTCCATTGATTGCAGTGCCGGTGAGGCAAATGACCTCTGAGAATCTGGAGTGAAATACTTTCATTACATGCATTAAAGGACAGGACAAGTATTGTGTTTCCCCTTTTCTTTTTCTCTGTCTTCTTTCCCAATGGGAAAATTATGTGGCAGTTTTCAAAATTATTTTTCATTTATTTATTTTATGTCTGCTGTGCTTCACATGTTTGATATTGAGGCAAGGTTAATGACATGCAGCTTGCATTTGGAACTGAAAGTGGAGATGTTTAAGGTTGTTCCTAGATCCTGTGGGTATATGGTAGATATTGCCAGAATATACAAGAGATTAAATGATGCTTATCAAAAATCAATGTATACTAATTTTTTCCTATCTGTGCAAATTTTCTGTGTTCACAACAGTAGAGGTAATGCCTGCATTTCATATATACTAGCTACCCAAACTCAAGGTCAAATCCTAAATTACTTCTTGAGGCAAAACTCTCAGGGAGTTGATTAATGTTTTGGCTGTAGTAGCACGTTAGGTTTCACCTTATGCAATGATTATATATGAGCCATCACCAAAGTCTTGTATGGAATCAAGGATGCTTGATTGATTCATTTAATATCTTTAAGATGTTTCTATTTAAAAGTACTTCTAAAAACTGTAGCTGTAATTAAAGGTAGGACAATGGCTGCCCCTCCCCATAGAGAAGCATCGAATCAGTAAAAAGAGACTTCAAATGCATTTGCCACATTTTGTGGCAGATCTGTAAACTGAATATATGATAAAAAGAGAGATGAGACAGAAAATGTTAACACAAGTAAAACATCTGATTAGGTCACAGGGGAACCACAGTCAGAATCTGTTTCTATTGATAATTTCTTTGTGACTGTTGGTAGATCCCTAATTCCTCCATGCCTCCATGGTCCGGTAGTAAAATAGGCATAGAACCCCGTCTTTTGTCAAGGAAGTCTGGTCAAATTCAACAGTGTTTGTGAGGCATTCAAAACCTTCTAGTATGTAGGGGTGGCCAAATAAGATTTTCCTTGACGTTTTTTCCCCTCTTGTGGCTGAGAACTAGGCTACATCATCCAGGCAATCTGTTTATATCTGGAGGCTCTCAGAAGGCTTGATTTGCAATGTGAGTGTGGTTGAGTATTGTGCATATCTCAGATATGAAGCATATTGACCAAGGAAGTCACTGCAATTGAGGAAAGAATTAACTGCTCTGTTGGAGGGCTTCATAAACTTGTTTGTTATTACTGTTGCTCCACAGAGCCCCAGCTGTCCAGCACAATCTCCTTCTGACTGTATAGTCTGCTGGGAGCTCAAAAGCTCTTCTACTGAATGATGAGTCTTTTTGGGTTGGGTTGGGTTTTTTTTTTTGGTTTTGGGGAGGTTTTGCCCATAGAATAGTGCACTTAAAACAACACGTTGGGAGCTGTTATGCATTTATTTACCATGGTGGGTAAATCTCATCTGGGGAGGTACGGAAACCCAATCATGAGTGCTACAGTATATACGCTAATTGCCAGGATAAAACCAAATGAATAATTACTTAACTTCAGAATGAGGCCTGGGGGAATTTTTCTTTAATAAAGGTTTAATTCACCAGTGATAATGAATGCAATCTCACATACTACTGAACAACACCATTAGCATAATGGCTAAGATACAAAAACTATAATTAGAACAAAACAGAAATGTTAATTACAGCCACAAAGGTACCAAAGAAAAAGGGAGTTTTCCTTTACCTGTCAAATGGGTTCCTGCCTGTGTAGCTTTAGTAATCCTTGTGAATGGGTCATCAATTCTGCTTGACTGACTGACAGGTAGAAATTAAAAACTGAGGCTTCCTTTGCCTTTTGATTCCAAAGGGGACTGGCATTCACACAGAAGACTTAAACAGTTAATAGTACAGATGAGGACAGTAAAGACTGTACCTCTAATCATAAAGCTTAAAAATTAAGCTCCCATGTATCTGAATCCCACACTTCAATTCCTTTTCACACAAAGGCAGCCCCATCATGTCGGCTCAGGAATATTAGATCTCTTCCAGGTTTATTTACTACCCCCAGGCGTACTTGCTGTGTACAGCACTGGGTAGCTGGACAAGGAAACATGGGAGCCTCTTGGCTAGGCAGCTGCTGAGAAGTTTACTGATAACAAGCAGCTTCATTTCCGGCACTAACAACAATAATAACCAAAGCTCTCTGCACATAAAAATTTGCACAAACTCTTATATCTTGCTTAAATGAAACCTGTGAGATGGCCTCATGGAAGATCACTCTTTTGTGCCATTTCTGGTGTGCATTTTCTCTAATCTCAATGCTACCCAAATATTAAATTTGCAGATTCAAGAACTCAGAAGTTATAAATATGAGAATGAATGTTACATTTTTCTCCCTTACAGGACTTAGTGTATAAAATGGACACCAACTGAATGGGAAGCTATTCAGTTTTTCTTTTTATCTTCATCCTTCTATGTTTGATTCCAGACCTTATTTAGCACACATCATCAAAACCCTGCACTGAATACAAAATTACCAATTTGTTCATAGGCTTTTTTGTGGTTTTCTCAGCTTTTTTTTGTGGTGCTCTCAGCTCTCACTATAATTAATCTATCCTCCCAACACCTCTAAGAAATCATATAATTGAAGCACAGAGAAATGAAGGCCACTTTGCTAAATATTCACTGAGTTGGGTGTCTGCTTTTATACAACTAAGTTGTAATTCATGCAGCAGTGCACACATTTAAAATACAGTCCTATCAATTTCTGCTTTGCACATGATCTTTCAGCATGTCCATAAACAGAAAATATCTGTAAAAGAGTCTGTGAAAACTCTGATTGCAGAAATCTGATGATGATCCCATTAAAACAAGGTGGTGAAAGTAGGAGAGGAACTCAGTCCCTCACAGTGGCATTTGGCCATGTGAACCCCTCTACCCTAACAGTTCTGCAGCTTGCATGTGACAATCCACGAAACAAATGAACAGACAACCAAAAAGGGTGGAAAAGAAGAAAGAAAAACAATAATAATCTGAGAAATCATATAAATATTTTTTACTGTGTTTTCCAATTGCCTTACACATTGGAGAACCTGGAGGCAGATGTTGGCGGGAATGATGCTTTTACTGTTCACCTAACACCATTGCCATTAAAGATAATGAAGGATGACTTATATATTTATACCTGAACCCAATCAGAGTTCTAGCAGGGAATAAACCTGCCTTATGATGAATGCAGTCAGTGTCTGTATGGTGAGCATGGGCTGACCTGTAGCACCTGTGTGGCACTTTCACTGAGATGTCCAGGAGAGGGTTTAGTAAAAGTGTTCACTGTTCAGTAACAGGAAAGTGATCAAAGCACTGATGCTAAAGCATTGGCTAAACCATCTCAGGGGGAAGAGGCTCAAAGTCCATCTGTTTGAATAGATCTCTCACCACCTGGCTATACAGGATATGATACCTTTCCTGTTTAAGCTCGACAATCTCAGCAAGAAAAGTATTCAAGTTTCATTAGATGAAAGTGGAAAAAAAATCAAAATCCCAGAACTATGATATGACTTTCTAATGCAGTAAACAGGATGCTCCTATGAGTGGCAAGAAACATGGGTTATGTTTCTGTTCATGTACCTCTTATTTATTTAATATGAAATGCATAATAACAATTGTTACAGTATGCACCAGAAACCCAACGCCTCTTCTTTCTAGTTCCTTTCTTCCCTAAATGCAACACTAGACTCCTGCTGACCTTAGATTTATTTTTCTAGTCTGGTAATTCATGAAGTCCTTTCTGCCTAGCAGAACAGATTCTACAGGTCATAGAATCCAACCCACCCAACCAGCCTATATCACAATTACGACATTAATCCAAGATTCTAAAAACACAGATAAGAATCTTTTCAGGTTAAGCTAAGCATTGGAACTTGAAATAGCATATTCCAGGAAAAAAGAAGACAAACAAACAAAAAACCCCAAATGCAAAACAAAACCTCAAACATAAACAAACGAACAACTTCCCCCCTTACCCCCCGCAAAAAAACCTCAAACTAAAAATGACAAACACACACAAAAAAATAATCCCACAACCAAAACAAAGTATATTAACTTGATAAAAGGAAAAACTTATTGACTATGAAGGCAGTCAAGGAGAAGAATTTTGCAGTTTCCACTCCTGCAGGTTTTCAGAATCATACCAGATTAAATGCAGAGCAACCTGATATGACCTCATAGTTCAGCCTTCATTTAGCAGGAGGTGGAACAAGAGACCTCCTGAGGTTCCTTCCAACCTGAATTATTCTATGCTCTCACAGGAAAAAGTGAATAGTGGTCTTCCTCATGAGTTACTCTATGGAAAAATAAACAATTATGAGGAATTCAGAACTACCTGCAGCAGACTAGGAATGCTTACCAGACAGGGTCCTTCACTCTTAGCCATCTGTCTCATTCTTTCACAGTGTCTAGAGAAGCTGTTTACAGGCAATTTCCATGCATAGTTCTTGCAAAGGATTTTTGTTTTCTTCTTTTATCTCAGTAATTCTGTTTTTGAAGACATGTTAGCCTGACTAAACAATAAGAATATTTCTGTTTAAGCCAATTTTTACATTTCAGAAAATACTAGTTTTTAATTTTGGACAGGAACGACCTATTAGGCTAAACTGTCCATTCCATCAGAATCCTGAGCAACTTTAACAGATTTAAATTCACTCTGTTTAAATTATGATGCACAAGGCTAAACAATCTCCTCATATGAATTTGTCTTTCATGCAAAGTAAGGTTTTCTCGAAAAAAAAATGCTGTAAGACTAACAAAAAAGAACAAAGGAACAGCTGTAAGTCAAGAGTTCTTATGCCAACACACTGTTCAGCTGGGTTCCACATTCATTTCCATCCCCCATATCATGCTGATTACAAACTTAGATGCAGTTCGAATGTTTTCATTTAATTCATTTTTTCCATATTTTAAATTCATTGTATTTAGCGAACATTCAGTTTGAAACATGCACTATCAAAAGAAACCCCCGCAGGTGCAAGGAATTTGAATAATCAGGTCCACATGATCCCTGAACCTCAATCCACTAAAGTCTCCCTGGGACCATTTTAAATGTGCAAAGGAAACAAATGTCCAAATTACTCTAAACAATCGTGAGATATCAGATGAAATAAGGCAGATGATTAAAATATTGATACTTATATTACAATAATGCCCCACAGAGATAACAGCTCTATTGTGCCAGGCATTGTACAAGCACACAGGATGGTGCTCTGCCCAGGAGGGTTTACAGTCCAAACCCTGATTTCCCATTAACATCCATGTTATAACATCAGGTCAGGAATAGTCAAAACTGAGTGTTGGAAAGAAACAGAAATATGAAACAACTATTCAGGTTGCCCAGTAAAACTGCAGCAGAACTGGGCATAATTCCCAAGCCTCTATAGTTCTGTTTTTGTGCCCTGCTTCCCAGACCTGACTGTAAACTAATCTGTTTGTATGTTCTTCTGCCATCCATGGCAGCTAAGCACTGACTGGCTGCAAGACATTTTCCAGCTTTTTAGGTGTTTCAATTTTCCACAAATTACTGTCATGTGTCAGAATTGCTTATGTTACTGGATTTTCCACAATGTTTCTTAATTTTATAATGGTTCTTTTAATTTCTATTTTTTGCAAAACCACAAATTCACAGTTTGACCTGCAATAACATAAGTCATCACAAAGATTAGGAGAAATCTTTAAGGCATCCCAAAGATTAGGAGCAAACAGGGATATGCAAAATGAACAATGTGATGCACAATCTTTTAATAAACTCATCTTCTGCATTCAGATTGCACAATTCATTTGATGTATTGTTGAAGTACAGCCAATGGCTGAAAATATCCCAAAGAGCTGAAGGACAGCTTTCTCCTAAGAACTGGCATAGTCTGAAAAAATAAGTGTCATAAAAGAAAACTTATGATCTATCAAAACCTTTAATTCTTTGGTATGTTGTAGGACATACATGCTGATGCAGTGTTGAAGACACAATGTTGCAGTGGAAAATCAATAGCCGAACATCTGCAAGCATCCATACCTACATTAAAAACCTGATTGACATATTGGGAGTAGAATATTCAAGCAGTTTCTCTTGATAGTTTTATCAATGGGCCTTAAAGTGCTCACAGTTTCATATCTTCTATATCTGTACAGTCAAATATGCTTATTTTGTATTACAGTAATTTTAATGCTATCTATTTACCCTCTAACTGAAAATTCCTCTCACTGAGATGGGTGGAAAAGAGAAAGACTTTGCTAGATGATAACAAATATGATCTTGATTACTCCAAGGAATGAATTCTTCTAAAGCAAGAACTGCTCTATTGAGGTGAAGAAATTTTATGCAACCCAATCTTTTGTTATCAGCTAAAGGCTTTACAAGCTAAAATACCAAGTAAAGGTCTATTCAAACCAAATTTGAACTAGAAGTCATCTGTATAATGTTCATATTCTTATTTGCATCCATATCACGGGCAAAAAATAGCAGAGAGGTAGAAAAATACCTGATGATACAGTGTGCTCCTTATTTATCAAAAGAGTTTCTTTAGATATGGCTAAACCACTACTACTTGGTGTATTGTTGCAATATATGCAGTGACTGAATACACCACGCACCCAGTTTGCCTGTAATGCAACTAATAACTCTCTTTTTTGCTAGTTAAGTAAGAACACAAACAGCTAATTTCCTCACTCTCTACCTGTAAGCCAGTATTGGTTTTTAACCATGTCAGGCCATTGCCATTTGTGTTTACTCAATATGCCAAAAAATTCCATTGCACAGTACATTTTGTTGCGACTTCCTCTTAGAATTTTTCAGCACTTTTTGTTTGGGATTCAAGAGGGAGAGTTAAGATGGTAAGGATGTTTGGATCTGAATTATTTCATAAAAAGCAAGAAAAGAAAATTATGATTCCTCTCTACATTTACTTTATTACACAAGACATTCTCCTTGACTCGGTACTAAGCTCTTTTGAAAATCTGGTAGGTTCCTAAACATGGATTTAAAAGCCTAAATCTGGGCTCTTGAACCTGAATTGTATTTGCCTGCAAGATACCCAAGCTCAAATTCACCCTTAGTATCAGGGAGTGCAGTTTCTCTGGCTTCACTTTTGCTATCAGAAAATAAGTTTATTCAATCTTGAGAATGTACTTTACCACTTGTCAACACAAATTTTTGGTTGTGATGTTTTTATAATGAAGCATTACCACTTTCCACTAATTTCCAAGACCTTCTCTTGGAACAACCAAAAGCTTTACAATTAGCTGTTGTTGGTTTGTTTCTTTTCAGCAATGTGTCTTGCATCTCTACTGATTGCTGGGCTTTGGAAAGAGACTGAACATGTATTTATTGACTAATCAAAAATACAGTAAAAGTAGAAAGACACAGCAATATTTAAAATCTAGCTGATTACCCTTTGGTGGCAGATGACTAACAGCTTACCTCAGCAAAGCAAAAATTGCTGCCAAAGGTTTCTTCATAGAAATAATCCTTATTTATTATCCAAGTTCACAGCTGTATACACTGCAGGCAGTAACTAAAAACACTTAAAAAGCATGATGCTAAAAAAGCAAACCCCAAGCTTACGTGACCATGATGCTTATTAAAAGTCCAATTCTTCCTCATTAAAACCAACAGGAAGGGCTCTGTCAGTGGTTTTAGAGGTAAAGGAAGTCATCTCATGGAAAATATTCAAAGTCACAAAGCTCCATTCTACTCATTAGCAGTAAATGTGTGATCTTCTCTGACATGAACAAGGAAACTGCTAAACAACTCAAAAAATTCTTAAGTTCCTCAACAATACCCTTTCCCGAAATAATAAGACAAAAATAAAAGCTGTTTTCTGCCCCCTCCAAGCACACATGAAGCCCCAGCTGTCCAAAATCTAGTATTTCTTTCAGAAAAAATGTGATTATACACAGTTATTGTAATAGTTCTTTTGGGGTTAAATCAGCCATCTTTACACAGAACAGTATTTTTATAAGACCAATTAAAAACTCACTTATTCATAATCACTATTAACTCTGGTAACATGTATGGAATAAGACCAGATGAGTTCAATGAGCAATTCAGTCACTTAAAACTGTTTACTTGAAGG